CTGTCGCCCAGGCTGGAGCGCAGTGGCCGGATCTCAGCTCACTGCAAGCTCCGCCTCCCAGGTTTACGCCATTCTCCTGCCTCAGCCTCCTGAGTAGCTGGGACTACAGGCGCCTGCCACCTCGCCCGGCTAGTTTTTTGTATTTTTAGTAGAGACGGGGTTTCACCATGTTAGCCAGGATGGTCTCAATCTCCTGACCTCGTGATCCGCCCGTCTCGGCCTCCCAAAGTGCTGGGATTACAGGCTTGAGCCACCGCGCCCGGCCTTTTTTTTTTTGAGATGGAGTCTCACTCTGTCACCCAGGCTGGCGTGCAGTGGTGCCATCTCAGCTCACTACAACCTCCGCCTCCTGGGTTCAAGCTATTCCCTGCCTCAGCCTTCCGAGTAGCTGGGATTACAGATGCCTGCCACCACGCCCAGCTAATTTTTGTATTTTTAGTAGAGACAAGGTTTCATCATCTTGGCCAGGCTGATCTTGAACTCCTGACCTTGTGATCCACCCGCCTTGGCCTCCCAAAGTGCTGGCATTACAGGCGTGAGCCATCGTGCCCAAACCCCAGCTGATCTTTTAATTTAATTTAGTTTTATTTATTTATTTATTTATTTATTTATTTATTTGAGACAAGGTCTCACTCTGTCACCCAGGCTGGAGTGCAGTGGTGTGATCATAGCTCACTGCAACCTCAAACTTCTGGGCTCAAGTGATCCTCCCACCTCAGCCTCCCAAGTCATGAGGGCTACAGGTGAATGCCACCATACTTGGCTAATTTTTCTATTTTTTGTAGAGACAGGGTCTCAGGATGTTGCCAGGAGTAGCCTGGAACTCCTGGGCTCAAGTGATCCTCCTGCCTCAGTCTCTCACAGTGCTGGGATTATGGGCATGAGCCACTGCACCTGGTCACTGCTTGCATGCTTATGTGCTTATGTATATATGTATGTATACACACACACACACACACATATATATATGTACATACATACACACATATACAGAATTTCACATCTGTTGCCCAGGCTGGGGTACAGTGGCATGATCACGGTTCCCTGCAACTTCTGCCTCTTGGATTCAAGCAATTCTTGTGCCTCAGCCTCCCAAGTAGCTGGAATTACAAGCATCTGCTAACACGCCCTGCTAATTTTTGTATTTTTAGTAGAGATGGGGTTTCACCATGCTGGCCAGGCTGGTCTCAAACTCCTGCTGGTCACTGCTTTTACTTTGGAGAAAATAAACTGAAGTGGGTTCAAGATGGCTCCATGACCATCAGCCCCACCCACATGTGTTCCAATGCATTTACTTGAGTGAAAGAAAGAGCTAGCAGTGCACAGAATGCCAGACACACCCTCGGTGTCATCTGAAGGCTATGTCCTGACAGCGCACCATTTGAAACCACTATCATAGATGGTCACAAGTGCTGAGAAGTGGGGGAGGGGAGGGGAGTCAGGCCAGCTGCCCCCAGAATGCTCCCCAAGCTGACCCTCAGTGACCCTTTTGCCTCCCTAGAAGTGTCTACATCATCCAGCCCTGGGTCTTCTTGGCCACACAAGTTTTGGAAGCCATCTGTTCATTTCAGGGCTCTAGGAAATGATGGGGCCCCTTGACAGCTGGTGTCCCCACAGACAGTTGGCACCTCCTGAATATGGAGTGGTCTCAGGAGGCCCATCCCATGCACAGAAGCTCCAAGTCTCATCTCAGTCCCCCCACCCCACTGAGCTTTGTAGGCTCCCCAGGCACAATGGTAGGCAGCAGGTCTGACCCGACCCAGGGCCCTGGTGGGATGGTATCACTGGGCTACAAAGGAGGAATGCCCCCGGCCACTGTCCTGAAGAGGGCAAGGCCAATTTCTCTGGAGGCCCGGAGCCTTGCCAACTCTCCACATGGGGAAATCTGACTCTTCCTGGACAGGGAGGAAGCAGATGGAGCTGCAGAGTCACGCTGGGAAACCACAATAGAAAAAAAAGAGAGAAGATATTTTCCTGAAACAAAAAGCACCCAGGGAGACCTCTGGGCTTTCAGCCTGGCTGGTGGAGCTCACATGTAGGGATATCAAGGTGCAGGGGAGAGGGATAGGGTGCGAACAGAACTCAAATGAGACCACATCGCAGTTAGCCTGCAAGAAGCCCACTAACCCCAAAGCTGAGGAAGCAGGCCAAGCAAATGCCAAGCCTCATGGGTAAACTGAATGGAGGTGTCTGTGCCCGGGGGCTCATGCAGCAGAGAGGGTTCCAGGGCTCCAACGAGGCTTGGCTGGCCTGGCCTCCCTCCACTGTGCCCAGCTGGCTGTGCCAGGGACTGATGGGGGAGGTACACACCTTGCCCCTGGTTTGGATTTTATTGCAGAAGACACTCTGGGGCTCTGCAAATCCAGCCCAGCAGAGCCAGATGGCAACAGCAGTACATGGCCGCAATGCCCAGAAACACCACACAGAAAGTCCCCACGTACACACATGGAGCATTCCAGAAGGTTGTTTGGAAGTTGGATTTTGAGCTGTGGAGAATGTCTTCTAATAGGAAGTTGGATTTTGAGCTGTGGAGAATGTCTTCTAATAGAAACGATACTCTGAGGGGAAACCTAGGTGACTGTTCAGGTAGACCATTTATATCACTAGCTCCAGCGGATGCTAGGTTCTGCCATGTTTGCGGAGACTGCTCTCTTGCCATAAGGTGCCAGGGTGAACCCCATCATTTCTCCTTCAGACAGTGCCTGCTCTGTGCCTGGCTATGTATGGGGAGCACAGCTGTCCTTGGATGCTCCTAAGCGAAACTTCCCAAGGACAGCAAATCCCATGCTTCTGCCCCCTAACAACTGTGCTGCAACACAGGGAGCTTCGTGGCCAGCTGGGGAACCTCTGATGGGAACCAAATGGTCAGGTGGGGCTGCTCCTTCTCCTCCTGCCCATCTTTAGGTTCAGACAGGAAATGGCCACCAAAAAAGCCAGGGAGCTGAGCAAGCACCTGTCCCATTACTGCCCTTTCAGGTGCCACTAGTTTCTCCTTTTTAAAAGGTGGAAGTTTCTGCCGGGTGTGGTGGATCACGCCTGTAATCCCAGCACTTTGCGAGGCCAAGGCTAACAGATCACCTGAGGTCAAGAGTTCCAAACCAGCCTGGCCAACGTGGTGAAACCCCGTCTCTACTAAAAATACAAAAAAATTAGGCCAGGCGCAGTGGCTCATGCCTGTAATCCCAACACTTTGGGAGGCTGAGGCGGGTGGATCACAAAGTCAGGAGTTAGAGACCAGCCTGGCCAGCATAGTGAAACCCCATCTCTACTGAAAATACAAAACATTAGCCAGACGTGGTGGTGGGCGCCTGTAGTCCCAGCTACTCTGGAGGCTGAGGCAGGAGAATGGCGTGAACCCAGGAGGCAGAGTTGCAGTGAGCTGAGATGGCGCCACGGCACTCCAGCCTGGGCTACAGAGCGAGACTCCGTCCTAGTACATCACCAGCACACAGCCAGGCATATCACTAGTGCCTATCTCACCAGGTGACAGAGGGGGGATGAGGAGCTATCGCACCCACAAAGCTGTCATCCCTGATTGCCCCACCAGAGCAGGTGCATGCCCAGCACTGCAAGCCATAAGCAACTGCAGAGAAGGTGCTCTGACAGGTGTGTTAGGTAGCCTGACTCTCCCACAGTGCCTCCAGAGTCATTTGTTAGGACACCGGGACCAGACCATCAGACTGTAAACAAGATCTGGGCTAAAAAACTGAGAGGCTTTGCAGGACCCAACCAAAACAGCAATCTCTTTCCCTGGCTTTGAAGCCATTCCCAAGTTCAAAGGGTCACCAAGCAGATGCATCTGGAGGCCCTGCACTCGTGGTGTGGGAAGTTCAGTGCACAAGCCAACGGGAAGAAGGGCACTGCTGATCCTCCCAGGAGTCCAGTCCAAAGGCCGGCATCGCAGCCCCACAGTGCTCCCAACAATGCAAGTGCCAAGAAAGGAGTCCAGGGATGGCCCTTCTGAAGTCTCTGCCTCCTAACTCTGCCAGAGCATTCACCCATTGGAGCATCAACACTGACCCACCCAGGACTGACTCCAGAGGCCCTGAGTGTCAGGCATAACAGTGCCCATCCACTCAGGGTGGCCGGCACCTGGCCCCACAATCCACCCTCTTCCTGCTGACTCAGTTCAGCTCCCCACCCCTGGAGCAGAAGTATTTCACATTCTCTTTCCTTCCCTTTCAAAGGGAAAGGGAGGAAGAGAGTCCCCCGAGGGAGCTAAACTGTACATCAGAAGTCTTAATCTGGCATCTACAGATGACCCTCCTGGGGATCTGTGGACCACCTGAAATTTCACTACCATGTCCCTACCACACTGCTCTGGGGAGAGATCCCAATAGTCATGGTCCAAAGGGGTTGCGAATCTGAAAGAAACCACTGCCCTGGACAGGCCTGGCAGTGCACCACCTTGCCCCTGTCAGCTCACGGCTTGGTCCTTTGAAGACAAGTCTGACCACTTGGGGCTGAAGCTGCCTCAGCTTCACCTCAATCCCAGGTGATTGGAATTTCTAGAAGGGGACCTGCCTGGGCACTGACCCAGGCAGCAAACTCCAGCAAAGCTACCCCAGTTCAGAGGACACAAAACAGATGTGGCCTTGCTTGGGTATCCAAGGCAGAGCCACCTGCACCTGTCTCACATACCTCCTCCCAAGACCCTCCCTTTGACGCTCTCACTGGGACAGCCTCACCTTTACTAATGACGGCTCCAATCATGTTCACAAACACATAGTGCACATGGGCACTATGCTGGGCATGGGAGGGGCCAAGATACAGTGCCTGTCCCCGGGGAGCACTGACTAGCAGGAGACTGTCATAAATGAGGGGCAGAAGGCCCTGAAAGAGGCAGTGGGCCAGGAGGAAAGGGGAGGGGCTTTCCAGGCAGAGGTGGAAAACAGCCTGGGAAAGTGCCCAGACAGAGGGGATGGGAGCTCAGAGTGCAAGTCCCAGCTTGATGGAAGAGGAGTCAAGGGCTGAGGGCCGGCTGGGGAGTCTGGACTTACAAGGGCAAGCCACAGAAGGAAGGCGGTCAGCAGCGGAACAGCAGGACCAGGCTTGTGCTTTACATCACTCAGGCAGGGGAGATCAGAGAGAGGCAGGGCTGAACTGGAAGAAGAGCAAGAGTTGCAATACTCTACATGAAACCAGGTAAAATCGACGTTACCTGGAAACTGAGTGGATATGGAGAAGGAGCGAGGAGTGCAGGATGCCTCCCATGTTTGTTTCCTGCGGGAGGGACGGGACAGCCACCAGATGAGACAGGGAAGAAGGTCTGCGGCAGGGGTCAGGTGATGACGGTAACAAGGGATCAGGAGTCACACCAAGGACAGGCAGAGCCACAGGGATCCCTGACCCAGGGCTCAAGGACTGTTCTCTCTGGCCAAGGCACCTATCTAAGTAACAGTTTGTTAAATTATATGGTACCCTTCTCCTGAACACAAGTTGTTCTCCCTGTCTGGCTTTGGGAGAACCTCAGGAAGTTGCATGCAGCCTGCTCTGGGAATTCTCAGCGTGCTCAGGAAGACTATGGGCTCCCTTCCTCTGCCTGCTCCCATCTGCACTGAGTCTGCCTCTGAAATTCAAATACAAAGCCAGCGCCATCTCCGACAGCCCTCCTCCAGGAAAAAGAGGGGTCAGGCTAAGCAGGTTATCAGAGGAACCAGATCCTTCCTGCCACATGAGCATGCGGCGCACCCCTGGGGCCAGAGGGCCCAGGACACAATCTCAGGCCCCAAACCCTCATGGAAATGCCCTTCAGAACTGACCCATGGCCCCAGCCCCAGCTGACCAGAGAGAGACTTTGCACAGATAAAGCTCATCTCATGGCCAAGTGCGGTGGTTCATGCCTGCAATCCCAGCACTTTGCGAGGCCGAGGCGAACGGATCACTTGAGGTCAGGAGTTTGAGTCCAGCCTGGCCAACATGGAGAAACCTTGTCTCTACTAAAAATACAAAAAATAGCCAGGCGTGGTGGTACACGCCTGTAATCCCAGTTACTCAGGAGGCTGGGGCAGGAGAATCGCTTGAATCTGGGAGGCAGAGGTTGCAGTGAGCCAAGATCATGCCGCTGCACTCCAGCCTGGGCGACAGAGCGAGACTCGGGCAAACAAAAACAAAAACAAAAACAAAACCACCTTATCTCACTGTAGGATAACAGATGCTGCAGAGGCCAGCCCCATCTCAGCTATCGTAGCAAGGTCATCCCCAAAAGGTCATTCCAATGAGGATGCAAAGCCTAATGACAGTCCTTGACCTTGTGGCTCAGGATAAGTTTGATTAGCTTGAAAGATCCAACTGGACACAGGGCACCAAATCACTACCAATGAACTAAACACACACACACATCCTCCCTCCAGGCCTCTGCATGAGCTATTCCCTCTCCCTAGACCTCTCTCCTGTCTTCTTTACCAGGCTAAATCCTTTCTAATCCCTTGAGACTCATAATAGCTTAGTTTATCTTCTTCAACAAGAGGATAAAAAGGATCCATCCTGCCTACCTAGAGAAAAAGCAACGTGTTGTTTTTATGCTGGGAAGGCCTCTTTCCAAAATCTTATTATAGAATGATCATTTAAGTAAAGGACAAAGGTTGGGGCCCTTTCTAAATGTTGAGGTTCTATTTAAACACACAACAAAGGGCTGGGCATGGTGGCTCATGCCTGTAGTCCAAGCATTTTGGGAGGCCAAGGCGGGACGATTGCTTGAGGGCAGGAATTTGAGACCAGACTGGGCAACACAGCAAGACCCTGTCTCTACAAAAAGTTTTAAATAATTAGCCAGGTGCTATAGCACACACCTGTAATTCCAGTTACTTAGGAAGCTGAGGATGGAAGATGGATTGAACCCAGGTGTTTGAAGCTGCAAGTGTGCTATGATGGCATCACTGTACTCCAGCCTGGACAACAGAGAAATCCTATCTCTTTTTTTTTTTTTTTTTTTTTTGAGATGGAGTCTCACTCTGTCGCCTAGACTGGAGTGCAGTGGTGCAATCTTGGCTCACTAAAAGCTCAGTCTCCCGGGTTCACACCATTCTCCTGCCTCAGCCTTCCAAGAAGCTGGAACTACAGGTGCCCGCCACCACGCCCAGCTAATTTTTTCTATTTTCAGTAGAGACAGGGTTTCACCTTGTTAGCCAAGATGGTCTCCATCCACCCGCCTCGGCCTCCCAAAGTGCTGGAGGCGTGAGCCACTACGCCCGGCCAAGAAATCCTATCTCTTAAAACACATACGAAACATTGTCAGTTTAAGGTACCATTTCCTCCAGGAAACCCTCCCTGACCTTACTCCCCTATAAAGGGCTTAAGGCTCCATTCCTTTGAGTTCCCAAAGCACTGTGCAATTCTGTGTCAGGAACTGTCTGCCTAAGGGGCCATGTCTCACAGCCTAGGAATAGCACGGTGTGGGTAGGGAGTATGCCTATATTCACCTTCATCTGAGCATTGACCAGAGCCTAGCACATAATACGGGCTCCATGGATGATACCAAACAAATCAACAAATGACCCACGCCAAGCTAGTCTGCTGCTGAGATCAGCCTTGCCACTTCAGCTCATGCCACCTCCCAGTCCTCCCTAAGAGCTCACTACATGCAAAGCCCAGTGAGGGAGAGCAACACAGGAGCACAGGGCCCGAGTTGTTCCTACTCTTCTATCCCAGAATGTCCCATCTACTGTGATCTAGTTGCCACCACCCCTCCCCAACCAGCAAAACTCCTACCCTAAAATAAAAAAATAAAAAATCAAAGGAATAGTCCACAAGATTTTGTGGCTGGAGCAAAGCCCCCTGTGGGTACTTAAGGTTTAAACTCACTGGGTGGCCTATCTGGCTTCCTTTGCGGGTGGGGAAGGGGAGCTCCACGAGGTGGACTCAGGGCATAGGAATGAGGCAGCTGGGAGGGAGTCAAGGCCTGGGACTGGGTGACTCTTTGGTGCTGGGGAAGGAGGAGGAGGGGCATCACATAGCAACAGAGCAAGAAGGAATAGAAGTGTGGCAGCCTCAGGTCCTGCAGATCTGGTCACACCTCTCCCCCATGGAGCAGAGGAGGTAGGGAACGTGAGATGGAATGTGTAGATTTTCTCAAACGTGCATCACCGGAATGTGTCAGCAACACTAAGCATGGGGCTGTGTAGCCCAGAGAGACTGACAGCATCGATTATCATGACTGAACCACAGATGGGATGAACCACAAAGCACGTACAGATTAGTGAGGCTGAGGGAGTTCACAGGCAGGGAAACTAGCCAGGGAGGAAGAAGACAACACGTTCTCAGACAAGAATAGGAAAAGGAAGGGAAGAAAAAAAAAAACAACCCAATGTTTTCCCAACATTTTTGTTAACTTCTTTAGACTTTAAAAGGCCTTTAAAAAAAAAAAAAAGAATGCTAGAAATATTAAATTTGTGGGTAAATATAAAAGGTGGACTACATAGTATGGCTTTCATAATATATGTAGAAATAAAACAAAAGACAGGAGGGGGAAATGGAAATACACTGTTCTTACATTATACGTGAAATGGTATGATTTGAAGGCAGACTGATTAATTTAAACCTGCAAACCATAGAGTAACCACTAAAATAATCAAACCAATGAAGTATAGCTAAATAAGCAAAGAGTAGAAATAAAACGGAATCCTAAAAAATACTCAATGAATCTAAAACAAGGCAAGAGGTCAGACACAATGACTCACACCTGTAATCCCAGCATGTTGGGAGGCCAAGGCAGAAGGATTGCTTGAGACCAGGAGTTAGAGACCAGCCTAGGCAACACAGTGAGATTCCATCTCTACAAAAATAAAAATAAAAATAAAAAATTAGGCTGGGCACAGTGGCTCACGCCTTTAATCCTAGCACTTTGGGAGGTTGAGGTGGGCAGATCACTTGAGGTCAGGAGATTGAGTCCAGCCTGGCCAACATGGTGAAACCCCATCTCTACTAAAAATACAAAAATTAGCTGGGCAAGGTAGCGCATGCCTCTTATCCCGGTTCCTCTAGAGGCTGAGACATGAGAATCACTTGAACCTGGGAGGCAGAGGTTGCAGTGAGCCAAGATCATGCCACTACACTCCAGCCTGGGGGACAGAGAAAGACTCTGTCTCAAAAAAAAAAAAAAAAAAAAAAAAATTTTAGCCAGGCCAGGCACAGTGGCTCATGCCTGTAATCCCAGCACTTTGGGAGGCTGAGGCGGGCAGATCACGAGGTCAGGAGATCGAGACCATCCTGGCTAACATGGTGAAACCCCGTCTCTACTAAAAATACAAAAAATTAGCTAGGCATGGTGGTGTGTGCCTGTAGTCCCAGCTACTCAGGAGACTGAGGCAGGAGAATGACTTGAACCCGGGAGGCAGAGGTTGCAGTGAGCCAGGATCATGCCATTGTACTCCAGCCTGGGCAATAGAGTGAGACTCTGTCTTTAAAAAAAAAAAAAAAGAAAAGAAAAAGAAAAATGTAGTCGGGCATGTCAGCACATGCCTGTAATCCCAGCTACTCGAGAGACTGAGGCAGGAGGATCACTTGAGCCTAGGAGTTTGACACTGTAGTAAGCCATGGCTGCACCACTGCACTTCAGCCTGGGTGACAGCAAGACCTGTCTCTACAAAAAAATTTTTTAAAAAAAAGAAGGCTAAAAAAGAAGAAAGAATAAAGAACAGATGGCACAAATGGAAAATGAATGTCAAGATGACAGACTTCAATCTAACCACACTGATAATTACTTTAAAATTTAAAAGGTTTATATACTCCAATTAAAAGGCAGAAATTGTCAGGCTGGGTAGAAAGGCAGTATTTAATACATGCTGTCTACAAGAAACACACTTTACATATAAAGACACAGATAGATTCAGTGTAAAGCAATGGGGAAAGATATACCATGCGAACACTAATATCAAGGAAGGCAGAGTGGCCCTTTGAGGGAGCCAGCTGGCAGCTGCCACTGAGCTCTGGTGTGCCCTCGCCTGCTCCCGACTTGCCACTGTTTGCCCTCACCCCAGAACAAGTCAGCTAGGAAGCCACACCATAGCTATGGCTTTCAAAGCCATCGGTGGAACTAGAGGTGGCAATTTATTAAATCAGAATTACCCTAACCTGCCGCAACATCAAATCTCTGGAGAAGGTGTGTGCTGACTTGATCAGAGGTGTCAAGGAAAGGAATCTCAAAGTGAAGATCAGTTTGGATGCCTACCAAGACTCTGAGAATCACTATAAGAAAAACGCCTCATGGTGAAGGAAACAAGGGATCGTTTCCAGATGAGAATCCACAAGTGACTCACTGACCTGGATGGTCCTCCCGAGATTGCTAAGCAGATTACGTCCAACTGTCCTGAGCTGAGATTCAAGGTTAAAGTCACTACTGCAGATGTTTCAAGCAACTATTTTATTAAACAGAATAGCAGTTGTTTAAAAGAAAAAAAGAAAGAAAGTTGAAGTGCTTCTGTTAATATCAGACGAGGCAGACTTCCAGACAGGAATA